GTTCCTAGGGGTAGTTTAACCGCCGAACAAGACGATCACATCCGGTTGGCATGGAACCGCCTTGCGCGCACTACAGGGAAAACACCTCGAATCACCAAATTTGATGAAAACCGATATATAGGGGTTATTTGGCATTCTGATTACGAATATGACACTTACTCCTAGCGCCGGCGCTAATGGAAGACGCTACGATCATTTGCGCTCTGCTAGAGCAGAACCTCGCATGAAGGGGATCACTGCTCCACACAGGTTCAGCCCTAGCAGAGCGCTTAATAGCGCTGCCGTCAGAAGATAAGTACAATATTCGCAATCAGGGCATCAAGCGACCTCATTAGCAAGTTTGTCGATTTGGGGTAAAAACGGTGTGGGGGCCGACGTGAAAAATAAATGCCATACCCTGATCAGGACGCCAATTGACCCCGTATACAAGACTTCATCAACTTTAGTGAGAAAGATGTGGCGACAAACTAGTGCCCAATGGCGCCAAATGGCGTCACGCCAAAAAGTAGCGTCATATTCGTGATCAGGGCTCCGGATTACCCCGTAATCATAGTTTCAGCAAAAAATTTTTTGAGGTTTTGGGGTAGGAACGTAGCGAAGTGCGCGCTTGTAACTGTAGAGCGCTATAAGGCGCTTAAACACGTGTTAAAGCGCTCGAAAGCGAAACGCTGCCCAAGATGCTTGTCCCTCAAGTGTCATTGATTCTTAAAATTAAATTTTAGGAATTCGCTGATCGTATGACTAGGAATGACATCGGTCCGCACGCAAGTTTCGGAGGTGGATATGGTCCACTAGTGGGAGAAACCAGGTATTCTCTTATTTCTCGCGACGTTCTGATTTTTTCTGCACCGGTTTGTTACTTCTTGGGTCTGTAGAGAAATTCACCACATGTGTGTGAGTTTTGTGTATTCAAACTTCTTTGTATTTATTTATCAGTTATTCCAATTCGTGTAGAAGCGAAAGCTCAAAAGATAGAAAAATGTGCGAAAAAGTGAGGACTCTCAGGAAACAAAGCGTCGTGCTCGTTCATGGGCTTGCTGGCAGCGCAGGCACCCTCGATGTCCAACGACAACACCTTCTAGCGGCAGTTTTTAGCTCCCCATATGTGAGTTGAACACGAAGTATGTTTCAAAAAGTGGCACTAGATACCCTAGTGCCCCGATCTGCGAAGACCAGTTCATGTTTTTATAGAAAGAAACTTCAGCAGTAGATTTGGTCGAATCCTTTGTCCCCGATTCTAATCGCTCAACGAAGCGAAAACGCCAGACGCCAGCGCCGGCGCCTGTAGCACACGTAGGCCTTTCACTGTGATTTTCGTGATCAAACGTCAAATATAATACATCCTGGGACAATTGTTCAGCATATTTAGTGTCTCTACAATAAGGTTCTGGCGTCGGCACTTTGTGGCACGAGTTCGAGCTGCTAGTAGGGGATTTTCGTGCTCTGCTCGATCAAGATCATCCAGAAAAAGTCAACTCTGCCTCAATTTTTGATCAAAATCCGGTCTGAAATTTGATGATGGGGCAGTAAAGGGTGAATAGCGCCAGCGATTACAGACAGGATGGAATAAATCGGATGTCTATGGGACAACGTATGGGAATGGCGAAAGGACACTCTTATATCAGGACAACATGAAATGCGAGTACGTCAAGCAGGTGGTGTCAGTGATCTTGCTTTATGTCAATAACCAGTCGGATCGCCAGGCCTGACCCCGAGGCTCTCTTTTTTTCTCTTTGCCCTCCTTCTCTTTTTAGCTCGGCTTCGCCGAGCTGGCCTGGCTTCGCCAGGCGCACATCATGACGGGATGGAATTAGTTAATTGCATGAGCTGCTCATATTGCGCGGTAGTGGTCGAATCATAATAGACAGAGTAACCTAGCGAAATCTGCACCCCTCAGAGTTGCGGAAGGCGTGTGGTTTCGGCCATAACGCCCATTCTATACGTAGATCTCAGAAATAGATAGGAAGTACAGAATATCAATATGTGTTGCACAGTAGATGAACAAATTCCGTTTTTATTGCATCTGCAACAGCAACGATGGGCAATTGACTTGTCATTAACATGCAATCCACCTGCTATGGTTGCATGAATGGCTGCAGATGACAATATGTTCATTGAATATCTTACAAACTACTTCGTTATACGTTCTCATCAGTGTTTAAAGTTGAAAAGCAAAAAAAAAAATATTTGAATACTCACTGAACGCATAAAGTGTGTTCCAATATTGGAGTTTTTGATTTTTCCAAACTTCCTGTTTCAGGCGAAGTATATTACCCCTAGTGGGATGAGTACATATTTTCGAGGTGCTATCAGGAGGGAGTGATGCGCTGTGAAAATTTCGCTTACTGAGAGGCTTTTTGGCAGTGTAGTGGTTAGAGATGTGAGCTGAGATTGTCCCCTTATCTTTGCTTATCAATTGATAAAATTGCTTGTCACCCGTCATCAATGTCGCTATCACAAAACTCCATAATTTCGCGTAGAGGCTCCAACATTTGATTGAACAACGACTGCATCTTTCTCTATCAGGCCTTATCAGCTGTTATCATTTCCTGTCACCCGCCGTCGCCTTCTCCTATCATTTGCTGAAATCAACGCCTATGATGCTGTGTCCCGCGTTATGAGTATGTTGTCCTTTCCACTCTAATTCCCCTTATCAGCAGCTAGCAGTTCTTGTCACCCACATATTCCTGTGCCGTAACCTATATCATACCTTAGAACAAACGCCCCAGTATTCCAGTCGGACCGTCTCCTCTGCTTCCTTCCCTTGCGCATGCTCAGATGGGGCTGAGCACGCGCAGGGGAAGGAAGCAGAGGGGGGGCACTGGGCGTCCCCCCCCCCCCCATCGGCCCCACCCCACCCTGCCCCCGCACGAGCACACGTCCAGCTGCCACGCCAGCAGCTCGTGCAATGGCTCGGAGCGTACCGAATGGTTGTCTTATATAGCGGAGGCCGATATCACGATCAAAACATTGGATTGATACTTCCGCACCAATCGATTTCCGGTTTGCCTAGCGGTCGTTTTCTCCTCCAGCGAACTCGAACCCGTGAAGCATTTTGCGGACGGACAGACATACATACACACATACTATCATACTACATACTTACATACCATACATTACATAACCTACAAAACATGACCAAACCGGACACACAAAGTTACTGGTTTATAGAATAGAAGGATAGCGGGATGAGTACATTTTCCAGTGCTATCAGAGGAGTGATGGCTGTGGGAAAATTTCGCTTACTGAGAGGCTTTTTTGGCAGTGTAGTGGTCAGAGATGTCGTGAGATTGTCCCCTTATCTTTGCTTATCAATTGATAAAATTGCTTGTCACCCGTCATCAATGTCGCTATCACCAAAACTCCATAATTTCGCGTAGAGGCTCCAACATTTGATTGAACAACGACTGCATCTTTCTCTATCAGGCCTTATCAGCTGTTATCATTTCCTGTCACCCGCCGTCGCCTTCTCCTATCATTTGCTGAAATCAACGCCTATGATGCTGTGTCCCGCGTTATGAGTATGTTGTCCTTTCCACTCTAATTCCCCTTATCAGCAGCTAGCAGTTCTTGTCACCCACATATTCCTGTGCCGTAACCTATATCATACCTTGAAACAAACGCCCCAGTGTTCCAGTCGGACCGTCCTCTGCTTCCTTCTCTTGCGCATGCTCAGATCGGGCTGAGCACGCGCAGGGGAAGGAAGCAGAGGGGGGGCACTGGGCGTCCCCCCCCCTCGGCCCCACCCCACCCTGCCCCCGCACGAGCACACGTCCAGCTGCCACGCCAGCAGCTCGTGCAATGGCTCGGAGTGTACCGAATGGTTGTCTTATATAGCGGAGGCCGATATCACGATCAAAACATTGGATTGATACTTCCGCACCAATCGATTTCCGGTTTGCCTAGCGGTCGTTTTCTCCTCCAGCGAACTCGAACCCGTGAAGCATTTTGCGGACGGACACATACATACATACATACATACATACCTACAAACATACAAACCGACACACAAAGTTACTGGTTTATAGAATAGAAGGATAGCGGGATGAGTACATTTTCCAGTGCTATCAGAGGAGTGATGGCTGTGGGAAAATTTCGCTTACTGAGAGCTTTTTGGCAGTGTAGTGGTCAGAGATGTCGTGAGATTGTCCCCTTATCTTTGCTTATCAATTGATAAAATTGCTTGTCACCCGTCATCAATGTCGCTATCACCAAAACTCCATAATTTCGCGTAGAGGCTCCAACATTTGATTGAACAACGACTGCATCTTTCTCTATCAGGCCTTATCAGCTGTTATCATTTCCTGTCACCCGCCGTCGCCTTCTCCTATCATTTGCTGAAATCAACGCCTATGATGCTGTGTCCGCCGCGGTTCACGTATAGATGTTGTCCTTTCCCCTGATTTCCCTATCAGCCAGCTAGCAGTTCTTGTCACCCACATATTCCTGTGCCGTAACCTATATCATACCTTAGAACAAACGCCCCAGTATTCCAGTCGGACCGTCTCCTCTGCTTCCTTCCCTTGCGCATGCTCAGATGGGGCTGAGCACGCGCAGGGGAAGGAAGCAGAGGGGGGGGGCACACTGGGCGTCCCCCCCCCCATCGGCCCCACCCCACCCTGCCCCCGCACGAGCACACGTCCAGCTGCCACGCCAGCAGCTCGTGCAATGGCTCGGAGCGTACCGAATGGTTGTCTTATATAGCGGAGGCCGATATCACGATCAAAACATTGGATTGATACTTCCGCACCAATCGATTTCCGGTTTGCCTAGCGGTCGTTTTCTCCTCCAGCGAACTCGAACCCGTGAAGCATTTTGCGGACGGACAGACATACATACATACATACATACCTACAAACATACAAACCGACACACAAAGTTACTGGTTTATAGAATAGAATGAAATTAGTTTTTCTGCCCCCTCATTGCCGTTATGGGAGTTGGAACCTGTTGACGGAAGAGCCCGAATAGACCGGATGAGTTTTCGTGTGCCTGTACACACTGGGACAACATTTGTGAGATCTTGTGGTTGGTAGCGAGTGTTGGAGTCCTTGCGTAAACTATGCACACATCCCTCGCAGGATCTCTCAAGGAGAAAAGTAGATTGCTTAGCCAAAAGCAGATGTGCATGGGATAAAGATTTCAGTGTGTTATTGGTGGGACTTCAAAGCGGTATCGCTGGATACTAGCACAGCTGTAAGGACACAGTCCACTCTAATCAACTTCAAAACATGGATGACGTCACGCTTGAATTCATTCAGAAATACTCAATTTTTCTCTACTACTCGGCAATGCGAAGACCGCATGTGGGGATCAGGCTACGCCAAAAGATCATGGATCTCGATCAGAGAATGACCGTACCCAGCTTATTTATCAAAGTTAGCAGCCTCTAATTACCACCTCCTTTGATCCCTACCGCATCCTTTAGAAAGCAAAAATTCCGAAAATCGACGTCTACTCGATGAGGTCCCTCTTTTTTTGTCATAGTTGCCGTAGTTCTATGAGAATGGAAATGAGAAGCTGTGCAAAAGAAGGGCACTAGTCCTAGTCCTTAGTGGTGATTACCTTGTAGATTGGAGGTGTCTTTTAGTGAAAACGAATTTGGTCCGAAAATTTGGTCAAAGTGTCGCAGGACTTTCGTCCAACCTAATAGTTGGCCCTGCCGTAGAATGGGTGAGCAATGAAGGCCAGGGGTACTTTTACCATTCAGCTCCGCACTTCCGAGCGGAGAAAGAGACACGCTACTGCAGCTACTTTCCCATTACCCTCGCGCATGGAATAAGATTTGTGTACGCTGTCTTCGATAGTTATAAAGCTCCTGGCTCTAGCACAGTACTCCATTTTCCGTTGAAACTTAAATTCGGCCCCTGACATTGATCAGTTCTCTATTACCACATGCGCCATAAGATTCTTCTTCCACTCAAAATCGGCGAATGAATGCGATCTTGCGCAATGACATATGGGGTGGGGGGCAGCTAAGGCATAAACCAGTGTGCTCACCTGCTCAGCGTAATGAACTATCCAGGTCTGTTCAGTTCCAAGTAGCCAATCTCGGAAGGTTGGACGGTTCTTGAGCCGAAGGCAACTTGGTAAAGACTGGACCTCTTAAGTACGCGTGGTAGGTGGCTTCAGTTTCCTGCCACCACACTGCACTGCGCCTTTCATGGCCTGTGCAACAACAACAATGGTTTTCAGACAATTCATATGTGAGCTTCTAGCCCTTCAAGTTATACCCTTCAACCATCTTAACAAATTTCGAATGACCCTTTCGGAACGCGCCATGCACTCAACTTCCACGTAGAACGCTGAAA